CACAAAGAAATGCTTGAAGAAGAACAGTCCAAGTCAGTTTTGGCCTCTCCCTGCGCAAGAAAAACAGCAAAAAAGCAACCGTAAATGAATATATATAAAAACAATAATTTTTTTAGATTGATATTTAATTTATTGTTATATTACTTATTTAATAATAGTGTACATTTATATTTAGTGTAAAGTTATATTCATAGCAACAAATAACATAACTTACCAAATTGAGTTAAATATTCATAATTCATCATTTCATTTTTTATATTAAAGTCAAAACCTTAACATTTCTATTTTTTATTTTTAGATGAATACACATGAGTTTTCCCACTCTTATTATTAATTTATTATTGTCTATGGTGGCAGACTTTCATGGCAATAAATGGCCACGTTGTCACTGACATGGCAATAGATAACAAAGTATTAACGGGCAAAGTGAGTTTGCTATTGATTTTGGGTGTTTATATTTGGGCCAAAAAGATGAGGGGCTAAAATTTTTATATTATAAGTTGAGGAGTTGATATTTTTATAAACAATAAGGTGAGGGGCTGGCCACAGATTTTTGCCAAACTTTGTAGTGGAAATTGCGTCATTCCAAATTCCAAGTCCATTTTGTATGTCATTAATCTAGAATGGTATCGAATTTCCTTTTATACCAATGCTTTATGGAATTACATTAGGAATTTTGCATACACCTAACAACAAGGCTTGTGTCTCTTATGGTAAATAGATTAAAAACTTAAACTTTTTAAATTAAAATTTTAAATTTAATTATTTTTTATTATATAATTCATTATATAACTAATAATATATATGACAAGCATATATATACTTCACATTTCGTGGATTATAAAGAAAATAGAACAGCCCTACCTTGTAGGTCATCACGACCAAACAAAATAATGATAAAAAAAAAAAAGTTTTGTCCGCTTTTTGTTAAAGCAAATATGATGCTTAAACTTCTAAAACATGATTTAATTAGAGGCATTCTCTACATCCATCACTTCTTTCTCCTCTATTCCATATCTCTTCTACTGTTTGCTTCTTTTTCTTCCAATCCCTCCGATAAACCTTTAAGACATGTAGGCGATGTGACAATAATCTCAATCGGTTCAGTTATTTGAGGGCTCGTGGAAGGCATTAATTGAGTCATCTTCTTTAGCTCCTTGCCTTTGCCCCACAGCACGATATATAATCCCAACACAATGAGGACCGCACCTAATACGCTGTAATAATACAAAGAAAATGTGAAATTTAAACCAAATTGTTTCAGATTAGCCACAAAGATTGGATTTAAAAAATTCCCACCTTTCCCACAGTTCTTCTTTTTTTTTTAAAGAATAATGATTAATATACTCTCAGATTTAATACAATATTTCACAATACATTTACAAGAAATTATATTTTTAAAATTTTAAATTAAAAAAAATTAAAAAATTTAAAGATTGAATTGATAAATATTATAAGGTATGTTAAATAAAAAAATATATTAACTATTTTCCTTTTAAAAAAATTAATATTAATGAATCACTTAGACACACATACCTTCCCAAGTATAATTTCTCTTCAAGAAACAAGGATCCTGCGAAAGCTACCAACACTAGCAATAAAGGGTTAAAAATTGAAGCATAGAGTGGACCTCTCATTCGCACACACAATGAGATTAACATATACATCAACCCAGAAGCAAGAATTCCCTGTAGAACACACATAATTAATTAGTTCAAAGTCAAGAGTTATTGATTTGTATAAAGCCCATCTGGTTTATAACTATAATAATAACATACCGCATAAGCCACAGTGAGGAGCCTGATGTTCCATCCTAACCTCCACTGGCTCCAATCCTTTTCTGTACATAATGCATAAGCAAGAGATTGGATTGCTCCCATCACACACATTAGTGCCGTGCTCGTATAATGACATGGATATTTCTCACTCATTTTTGTCTGCAAGTATTTACAGAAACCCGAAATGGTTTAGAATGTTGGATAATCACTCTCACATGTGCGATGTGAACCTTAGCACAAATGATTCCAATCAATGCCAGAAACACATAA